TATTTTGTCTGCAATATTACTGTACAGTGCCAGGAGGACTGTAAAGTCGTGGAACCGTTGACATCATCTTCTGCACCCACATTACTCCACAGTGCATGTGATTGCAGTGATCTTCCTATGGGTACACTAGGTCTTGTACATGTGATCATGGTCATAGTCCTTGGTGATCCTGTGAGAGAGCCGTCCATTCCCTCTCCTCTACCTCTCGCCACACCTGTCCACACAGTCATAATGCATACAGGCCAAGTCTAGGTTTTTGCCAAAGATATTGTTAATGGATTCAGCTTAACGTGCCTGCTCATTTCGGTCCCTGGATCCAATCTCACTGTCTTAGATTGCCATGAGACAAGCCCTCTCGACGGATGATGTTTACATTCTTGTTGCCGTCCTGTCTGCCTTCTCTAGTTCTTGCTCAGGCCGAAGGTTCGCTATGAGGTAACACCGGCGCGGCGCGAGTTCATTCTGGGAAACGTGCTGTGTCGCTACGACATTATCCCGACGGCGGCAGATGGTGCCGGTTCTGCCACGGATACGGACTCTGACGGAGAGCCACCGTTTGTACTGGACACGGAGAGGCCGGACGCTAGTGGGGACGAGGTAAGCATCGAAGACGACCACTCTTGCCGTGTGTGCTAGTACAGTCATCCCTCTCTAATCCGGCGCTTGTTTATCCAGCACCCTTGCAAACCAGCACACTTTCTGGCAAAACGGATTTTTTCAGTTCATTTTCTACGCTTTAATCCGGCACTTGAATTCCGCCTCCAGCAGCGATTTTCTGCAACAAATCTCTCAAACTGTGTGTAATTCGATTTTCTAATCCAGCAGTTGTGCATCGCACACTGTCAGGGAGCATTGTAACATACACAACAGATGTAACATACACTTGGGAATATCCTATGCCAGTGCAAGGGACATCACCAGGTGTATGTTAAAGACATGTATTCCACGAAGTACCGGTACTTGGATTGACAGAAAATCCCTACGTTTTGATGTACGACACAAACATGTATGCTAACAGGTGGGCCGGGTTGGAGGGCAGGATTTGATAATCCAGCACCCTTGTTTATCCAGCAGAAAATGCCGTTGCAAAAGGTGCCGGATTAGAGAGGGACGACTGTATCAAGAATTCTAGAACAGAACATTGGGAATGCGTAGGTGAAGTGGGAACACAATCATAATACAGTATTGCTTTACAGTCACCACCAAGGGCATGTAGCATCTGCTTTCTGTAGCCGTGCTTCGAGCCAGTTACATCGTGTGGTTCCTTAAGAGAACAGGAACTGTCATGTAGTTTCATGCATTGCTTGCCCGTATTTGAGGCCACAACCGCACTGCGTGAAGTCCCCGGTGCAGACTTTCGTGCATTCCCGGGCACATGCCTGAACAGTGAACACATCCATACTGTATATTCACAGTGCATGCAGCAGGCATGACGCCAGGGCTGGTAAATGGGTGGAAATGCGAAAAACGACAAATATGGCTTTTACAGGGTGCAACACGTGCTGAAACCTAGAAAGCTTGCTTTGCACTACTGTGCATGTACTATGCTTTGGCAACCTGTACTGCAACACGTGTTGTGAGTGATCTTGTACGTAGTGTGGTTGTGGCCGTACGTCATGCTATTACTTACTGCTCTAGCTAAGGGAGCCAGTGAAACAGTGAATCAAACACCATTGGGTGTTCCATCTTTGCTTTGGGTCTGAGCCACTGGGGCTTCATGCTCCGCAACAGTCAATCTGTCAGAATCGAGGGAGGTCCGTCTCGTTGCTTTCTTCGTCCCATTGCATTTACCGTAGCCTATTCGATTGCCGTGCTGCCGTTGTGTACTACTTGACCCGTTCCTTTGCAGGTTCTTGTGGAGAACAGCTATGATGAGGAGTGCTCAGAGCCAGTGTCAACTGTACCCACGTCCCTGTCGAAGGAGCGGCGTCAGCCTCCAGTCACCTCCACACCGCGCTCTCACCAGACACAGGCCACTCTTGTCCTGCCCGAGTCGGAGCAGGAGTCGTCGGAGGAGATCGTTCGCACTGGTAGGGTTGTCAGCACTGTGATTTGGTAGTCTACACACCGACTCCCGTGGATGTACTCTACACACACAGTACTGTGCACAACCGTACGGTCTACCTAAAGTACCCCCCCCCCCCCCCCCCCCCCCCGTGCAGAATGTGTAACTCCCACATGCAATACTGCCCCCCCCCCCCCATAAGAATTTCAAATTGGTGTTGCTTTTTCGTAGGAATGCTTGTGGTGTCAGCTCGCCCTAGTCCTTTCCGGTACAATTTTTTACAAGCACACATATGTAGTGTGTTGGTATCCTGACACGGACGCCTGAGACACAGACACGCACCGTATCATATACTGGTAGACGACATCAAATTGAAATTCTGTTGAAAAGTGCTGCATTGCTTGTACCAGCGAAACAAGGGACGGTAAATCCATGCGCACCGAACCTGATGATCTGCTACTGTATCTACAAGACCAGTGCGGAAAAGCATGCATACTTGATCATGCTTCTCTAAGAAATGATGCAATAAAAAATCTGGCTGTGGTTGACCCCCATCCCAGGTCAAGATAGGACTTGCACACTCTTACTGTAGTCTTGGTGTTTGGTTGGTGGATATGTTCGGAACCTGCTGCTTAGCTACCTACGTTTTGTTTGAATAATAACTGTTGTGTGAAACTGTGAATAGCGAATGGTCTGCTTTACTCATAACTTTATCCATTGGTGTAGTTACTGGGAATTCTTCTCTGAAAGAATCTGCTTACTTTTACTGTTTTGTTGTTACTGCGATCTAGTCCATGGCCGTCCACGACGCATCTTGGACAGCCAGGCTGATTCTGAGTCTCCAGACATTGGCATGGCACGCAGCAGATCTAGTGGTCGCACTCCGGCGGTCAGTGCTGACCAGCAGCAGCAGCAGACTGAGTCATTCTCCGTTGTTGCTGCATCTGAGCCCGATGACGCAACGATGCAGCCAACACTCCTGGTCGATGAGATCAGTGCCGCTGATGCTACGGGAACCACGGCGTCAACAGCACCTGGTCTGGTAGCTGAACCCACGCAGGCCACACAGGTCTTTGATACCAGCACGGTGGACACGGATCCCACTCAGCCCACTCTCATGATGGATGCGTCGGCCACTGCTATTGCTGAGACCACGCAGGGTGCTTTGTTTGACAACTCTGCCACGCAGCCAACGCAGGTGTTTGAAGATACTGACTTAACAGCATCCCCGACCGCTGCTGGCCAGGGGCAAGTCTCCAATGCATCATCAGCAGCAGCAGCAGCGGCGGCATGTGACCCAACGCAGCCTACGCTTGAGTACGACAGTGATGCGTCTGAACTGATGCTCGCTGGCGATGATCGTCTTGACACGGACGAGGACGATGCCGGCGAAGAAGCCATGGATGTTACCGAAGGCACTGTCATATTGGACGAAATTACCAGCACAGACGGGTGTGTTGTATCGGTGTTGAAGGTCGGTAGCACCAAAGGCGCGGTTCCAGAGGTCGAGCAAGAACGAGATCAGTTAGCTGATGATGCTGCAACGTTGGCTTACTTACCTGGTGAAGGTCATGACGAAGATGCGGACACGACAGGCCCAGAAGATAATGGTGATGATGATGCTGTTCCTAACACTGGCGATGATGATGCAGAAGAACCCACCCTGGCGTATGGTGCTCTGGCCACGGCAGAGCCAAACAGTGACGACGACAACAACAGATCAGCAGCTAATGATACTGCTGACGATGAGAGCAATGCTTCGCCTCTGTACTGTAATCCCGAAGAGGACGGAGAAGAACCTACCCAGGCGTATCTTTCAGGTGCTCCAGAGGAAGACGCGGAAAGCTTTTCGGTGCCCATGCCCGAGCCTATTGCTGACGATGATGATGATGATGAGCAACCAACTCTGGCGTATGGGCTAAAGTCTGCTGATGGTGATGGTGAGGAAGAGGAACCCACGCAGGCTTATGGACTGAACGCAGCTGGCGATGATAAGGGTGGCTGCAATGATGATAACGATGATGATCCGACGTTAGGATATGCTCTGGTCGGCGAAGGCGATAATGGCGAGGAACCAACACAGGCTTATGGTATGGCCGCTGGCAATGCCGACGCTGGTGATGATGGCGAGGAGCCAACACAGGCTTATGGCTTGGCTGCTGGCAATGCGGACGCTGGTGATGATGGCGAGGAACCAACACAGGCTTATGGTATGGCTGCTGCGCGTGCTGATGAAGACTTTGCCACACAGCCGTACGGTATTGACGCCGCTGGTGCAGGTAGCGACGACGAAGGCGAGGAACCCACCGTCGCATGCCCAATCTTCGGTGGCAATGGTAGGATGTGTAGAGATTCCCTTTTGTTTTGTGGGTGTATTAACGTGTAGATGCTAGCAGTAGTGCTATGCCCAGGTGTTGCCAGACAGTGGCTTAGGTTCTATCCGAAAGCCTTTGTTTGGTTATATTGCTTGGCCTGTGTTCTGTTTGATGGAGGGCATGCGTCCGTAGCGTCTCCCGTGAGAATGACCTTCAACCACTATCTTACTGCAGTTGGGGCATGTTTTGATAGAGCCACAGCCTTTGTTATGGGTAACAAGATGCAGTTTGCGGTGGACATGCTCACATGTTTGTAGGAACATGTACACCATGTACACCCGTATGTTCCGTGGTGTGTGGTACCAGGTATGACAATCTCTAAACACTGCCTCAAGTAGCACAGACTACAGTGTTGCTCAATGAAATCCAGTCGGGTCACTCAAGTACGCGCCGAGCATTGCGCAGCCCTAGACCTGCGAACGCCGGGCTGCGAGATGGTGCAAGGCGCAAACTTGAGTGACGCGACTGGATTTGGTTTCATTGACTAGAACTGTAGATGTGATTTCTCACAGCAGTGCTAGCTTGTGATAGATATGATCAAGAGTACATATGAACTATTGATATGATGGTTGGTAGTACTCGTACATGCAACGGTATGTACTCAATCTCTTCAGCGCTATGTACGTATTCTGCGTGCGTACTCTCAGATGGCGATGAGGACGTTGAGTCACAGGAGTATGTGCCGGCAGCCAAGGTGCCTCACGCGGTGCTTGCCAGGTCACCTGTCCAGCCTTCCCCTACTGCTGCTACTGCTACTGGCACATCACCTCGACGAACACCGCCACGGAGAACGAGAGCCGGAGGGGATGGCGTGTCACCGGCAGACGTGAGTCTTTCGTGCAAAGTGTAGTGTTATCTTGTGTGTGTGTGTGTGTGTGTGTGTGTGTGTGCCCGTTGTGCATGCCTGTTCTCTTATTTGCACTCTTCTCGTTATAGATCTGGACTATCCATTACGGTATCCCTCTAGTGATTCATCCCATATCTAGATGTACTATCCATTGCGGTATCCCTCTAGTGATTCATTCCATATATACTATAGTAGATGTCTCATACACTGTACTGTACCCTTCTAGCACAGGAGATTGTGGTAAATTACTCGCTGTGTTTCTCTGTGCGTTCACCTTGAGTGTGACCAACCGCCTTGCTCTGCACTGATGTTGTCCTAATCCCTTGTCGGTTCTTTGCTTCCTCTTTCTGTTCTTCTTTGTTTAGATTGTTGAGGGTACTCAAGCATCCTCTCCATCACCATTGAAGAGCTGCCTTCCTGGTCTGCAGAAAGCAAGTACGCACGGAGCAAATGAGTGTGGCTGCTGTGGTGGCTTGTATACCGTATTGCCTTGTATAAAACCCTGTCCAATATAGAAGCCAGTTTTGAATACAGGTTCAGTTTTCAAAATGGACCGTTGTCACATAAACCTGAGTTTTGTGCTGACATACATTGTAGTGCCTGGTTTGAATAGAATCCTAAGTTTCCCTAACCCTCGCACTGGCTTCTACAGGAGTAAATCCAGTCCAGCCTTTTTTGCATGACGCTGCTGTAACTGTTATCATATTCTCTGAACTCGGTTTCCATGCCTTTGGTGATGTCATTTGATTTCAGCCGCTAATGTGCAACGAGGAACGAAGCGTCAGAAGCGTGTGCTTTTTGCAGGCGATGTGAGTGTACCTGTGTCTGTGTCTGAGCGTGTATGCATGTGTATGTGTCTGTGTCTGAGTGTGCGTGTATGTGTATGTGCATGTGTATGTGTGTGTGGTTCATGATCTCTGTTGACTCCTAATTTCTAAGCTAGCCGACAGTAGATGCATGATGTGTTTGCTGCTAGACTTGTTTTTGTGTATAGTAAATGCTGTGTGTCTCCATTGCCTTATCACATTGTCTTGAAATGTTTAGTTTAGAGATGCTCTGTATGACGCTTTGCCTGCCTTCCTTGTCTGCTAGGCTCTAGTAGTGCAGCCAACAGATTCTTGAGTTCCCTGCTGATGCTGCTGCTGTGGCTGGCTTCTTTCTCATGTTTTTTTTTTATGCAACAGGTTGATTCAGATGCTGATGATGAAGTGGGCATTATGGAACCAGGAGCTTGGAAGTAATGCTGCTGCTGATGATGATGATCCACCACGCAAGCGCCGGTACAATGCTCGCTCTGCTACTGCTGCCACTGCTGCTGAGAAGAGGGCTGACACGATGCCTGCTGCTTCTGCAAGCGCTAGTACACGAAGAAGTGGCCGGCAGGTTGCGGGCAATTCTGGCACGGCGGCTCAAAATGTAGCGCAAGAAGATACTGCTCATGGCGATGACAACAAAGCAGAGAAGGCAACAAGTGAAGCATCACGCTCATCCCGTCGAAGCAAGAAAGGTGTGGACGAGGCCCCAAAGACCGATGTACCCGTTGCTGAAGAGACTGTTACATCACAGCAGCAGCAGCAGCAGCAGCAGTCGGATGCAGCCAATTCAAGGAGCAAAACGGCTACCAGTCGAGCATCAACCCGGAAAAAGAAAACTCTGGATGTGGCCGCTCCTGACGAGCAAGAGCAGAAGCAGCCCTGTACTGATGTATCAGATTTATCCACTACCGGTAGTATGGAAGATGGCAACAAACGTGAAGAAACTGGAGCTGCGTCGGGCCCATCACGGGCCTCTGGCAGGAGAAAGAAGCTGGGTTCAGGTAGTGAACAGGTGGTTACCTCAGCATTGACTACTGCACCTACAGACATAGATGCGGAGAGCTCTGAAGCAGCCACTACTGAACCAGTGCGTTCAGCGAGAGCATCCAACCGGAGAAAAACTGACAGCAAAGGAAACACAACTAGCACGGTGAAGGTGGTAGAGGAAACAGCAGCAGAAGAAGATACCAATGACGATGCAAGTGCATCGAGCTCAAGGAGCTCTGGTCGGCAGAAGGAGGCACGAACCACAAGCAGCAAGAAAGAACTGAGTGGAACGCCGCCCATGGGTCCTGAGGAAACAAAACCTGCTGGTGATAATGGCACCATGGAGACATTAACTCCTCGCGGCCGTGGAAGAAAGTCTAAGGCTGCCGCCGCTCCTGCAGCGTCTGCAGATGAAGACGTCAAGTCATCGCAAGATTCCAAAACTGAGGATGCTGTTGCCCAGAGCAGTGGTGGTCGACGCGGTCGACGCAGTCTGTTGGCCAGTGCCAGCTCTGAAGGTGATGCATCGGGGAAGGTAGGTCTCTGAGCTTAGTGAACTTGTTCTCTATGGGCACTGAATTGAACACTGCATTGGGTTGGGCTTCCGCCTCCTCGACTGGAATACAGTTGATGTGGGTCCATCTACTTGACTGGAATGCAGTTGATTTGGGTCCACCTACTCAGGTGGAATACAGTCGACGTGGGCTTCAAGTATTGTGAAGTAGTGCAAAGTTGCATTGCTTAACCCTTTACCATCCGACCAAATTTCCCCAGCAGTCCCAAATGCAATAATTCTAACCTTATTCTGAGAATATCTTCGGTTCTAATCAACCAATTTTCACAACCTTGGGCATTCTGGAAAGCTCTCCACGAGCTGCGTACATTGAGCTCAAACAGGACACTACCTAGATCACATATTCAGCGCCAGGGAGCTTCAAATACACCCCATCGCTGGATATACGAGGAAATTCTCTCCTCGCCAGCCATTTCTCGCTCGTTCATCGTAAACATTCCAATTTTTGCTTGAGTTTCTTTTCATGCTGCCCACGCGCTCAAAGCATGCCAAAGTGACTCAGCATGTCAGGAGAGGGGGAAATCCCCGCTCAAGGTCAGTCACTCGGAAAGAAATTAGACTTTTGCCGTAGCTGAAATGTCGAACAAAATATCTTTGGAATGCGACATCGCAGCTCTTTACCGATAGATGCAATGGAAAGCTGGGCTCTTCGGCTTCTTCCTAGATACTTAGTTCTTTAAATTCCGACAAGAATTGATCGAGTTACGAATGTTTTAGTGCATGCATGTCCATCGATCTCTAGAGATCGATTCAAGTACGCACGGATGGTAAAGGAAGCATATGAGTCTTAAAGCTATTTGGATTGATTTTGTTTATAGTGGCGGTGACTATCAGTTACAGACATCCACCTACTGACGCTAAACCCGGAGAAGGACTGAGATGAACCGAAATAGTAAAAAAGAGAAAGAAAGACTAACAGTGATGTACGCAAGGATGTTGCCGGTAGAACTGATTGACAGAAAAGAGGGTAGACACCCAAGCTCTCTCTCTCTCTCTCTCTCTCTCTCTCTCTCTCTCTCTCTCTCTCTCTCTCTCTCTTTTGCGTATATCCATGCAGGCGGAGAATGAAGAGGAAACTGGTGCTGCCGTGATGCCACGTGTAATGCTGACTGGAATAATCAATGAAGAGCTTCGCCTGGTTAGTGTGTGACTCCAATGCCGATGTCAGTGTTACTGGCACTGTGTGTGTGTGTGTGTGCATGTGTGCATGTGTGCGTGTGTGTGTGTGTGTGTGTGTGTGTGTGCGTGTGTGTGTGTGTGTGTGTGTGCGTGTGTGTGCGTGCGCGCGTGTGTGACAATGTGTGTGACAGTGTGTGTTGATTTTCATCTATCTGTAGATGAGTTGTCTGTGTGCCTATCACTCTATTGCTGATGCAACTCCCTTGCCCTTTGGTCCTTTTTCATGTGTGTGTGTGTGTGTGTGTGTGTGTGTGTGTGTGTGTGTGTGTGTGTGTGTGTGTGTGTGTGTGTGTGTGTGTGGTTTGTAGGTGGTGAGTCGGCTGGGTGGTAAGATGGAGGATGACAATGTGCGCAACTGCACACACCTCGTTACAGACAGGGTGAGTGTGAATAGTGAATACTCTTTACTACTTTGTTCTTCCTGCTGTGTGTGTTTACAGATAGATGTTAGAAACCAATCTCACATGTGTAGGTTACTAGCTACCTGGAAGGCTGTTGGTGCAATTCAGGGCTTTGTGGGGTTTGGAGATAACTCAAATATTTACTGCTTTTGAAGTACCATTTTTAAGATGCTCAAAAATCGACATGTCAATAATTTTATTAAAAGCAGCCATAAACTAAAATAGTTTGAATGCTGCAACCACACACCATGGAAGTCTTTTGAGTTTTCCAGGTTCTGTGTGGTAATGACTGTAGCAGTCATGCTAGTTATTACTATAATTCCTGTGGAAAAGTGGGGAGTTCAAATTAACCCTTTCTGCCACACCAGATAACTATTTCCTGCAAACTTCGGATGCACGGCGGAGAGGGCGGGCGGGGGGGGGGGGGGGGCATCAACGGCCTTAGAGGAGCATTCTCAATAGGGCCGCATCACAGGTGTACAACTACTACAAGTATGTATTCTGAGCAAGTGCTTGAGGAATACGTGGAGCAATTAAACCGTGCTGGAACATCAAGTAGGTTGAGCAGCGTATTCTCCCTTTCTGATTCTCTTGATTATTGCTATTATCAGATTGCAAGGACGATCAAGTTCTTGAGCTGTGTGGCAAGAGGCACTCCCATCGTGACCACCGACTGGCTGCATGCGTCCAAGAAGGCGAAGCAATTTCTTGGTAAGGCTACCCTCCCTGTCACAAATATATAACTGCTGTATGTCTCTTTCCCTTCAACCAGTGAATATTTTTTGCAGGTATGCTGAGATTTTGTATTTTGTTGTTGTTTGAGATTGGAAATGTTCTCTCTCTCTCTCTCTCCTCTCTCTCTCTCTCTCCCCCCCCCCCCCCCTCTCTTTCTGTTTTCCTCACAGACCATTCTCGGTACGCAGTTCGTGATGCTGAGAAAGAGGCCACTTTTAAGTTTAGCCTTGATAAGTAAGTAGCAATGAATATGAGTATGCAGTATGCGTTTCCATTGAACCATTTCTCTTTGTTTGGCAATGAGCCCTCACCTCTCTCTCTCTCTCTCTCTCTCTCTCTCTCTCTCTCTCTCTCTCTCTCTCTCTCTCTCTCTCTCTCTCTCTCTCTCTCTCTCTCTCTCTCTCTCTCTCTCTCTTCTCTCTCTCTCTCTCTCTCTCTCTCTCTCTTTCTCTCTCGATCTCTCTCTATCTCTCTCTCTCTCTCTCTCTCTCTCTCTCTCTCTCTCTCTCTCTCTCTCTCTCTCTCTCTCTCTCTCTCTCTCTCTCTCTCTCTCTCTCGATCTCGATTGGCTTTGGCAATGAGTGTGTGCATAAGCATAATAGCAAGAATAATGTCTGTTTGTAATGAATGTTGTTGCATGTGCACAGGTCTTTGAAGCGCGCATCCCAGCAACCTCTCTTCCAGGGCCAACGTCTGTACTTGTGTCCCAGTGTCAAGCCACCTCCGGATCAAATGGCCGGTTAGTGTCTGCTCAGTGTCATGATTGCCTTGCGGGGAATCATATTGCCGGTTGCCATTTCTGTTATCATAAACCGCACCGAGAACCGTATTTTCCGGAGTATAAGCCGTACTTTAACCACCAGTAATTCACCTAAACAAATTCGGTGCGATTTATATTACAATGGTCAACTTAACGGTGATAGACTGGGTAGATGGCGATATTTCGTGACAACAAAATCTGTGCACAGCTTACACTCCAGTGTAGCTTATTCTCTGAAAAATACAGTTTGAACAATTATACAGGTATCGTGGCAGTGTACTTTCAGATTTGCACTCTTTTCCTATGAGGACCGTCCCCGGTATCATGTACAGTAAGGTGAGAAACTTTCGCAAGAGTTTAAATTTCGCTATTTTTGCATTGATCCCACATCCGCGGAGATAAATCGCCGCAAACTGCTCTTTGCATTGTTGTGAACAATGCAGAATCCAACTAAAGAGATAAAATCACGAAAGTTTCTTTATCATGAACCAGTGGAATTCTTAGAAAACCAAAATTTCCATGCAGCGAAAGTTTGTCGCTTAACAGTATGGTATATAAAGATGCTTGTGGCAGGCCATGGGAGCAGCAGGCTACCTGGCTTCCTTGCTGAGCTCATATTGTTTCTCTGCTGTTCTTCTGCTTGTCCGTATCGCCGCGTGCTACATGTTAATTGTACAATCTGTTTTTTCTCGTCTTGATTTGTTTGTGTTGTCCAGAAATTGTCCGTTGTGGTGGTGGTGAGGTAGGTACATGTAGCTAATGGCTGTGCACTACAGCTATAGTGAAGGTATAGTGAAGGTATAGTGAAGGTATAGTGAAGGTATAGTGAAGGTATAGTGAAGGTATAGTGAAGGTATAGTGAAGGTATAGTGAAGGTATAGTGAAGGTATAGTGAAGGTATAGTGAAGGTATAGTGAAGGTATAGTGAAGGTATAGTGAAGGTATAGTGAAGGTATAGTGAAGGTATAGTGAAGGTATAGTGAAGGTATAGTGAAGGTATAGTGCTGCAGTTGTTTTTAGATTTACACCTTCGCTGTGCATGATGTGCCTTTTGAGGGAGAATCACAGCGATCGTGTATCGTTCTGCTTCTCAAACACGTTCCAGTGGGTTGTATGTCACGACTGCTCTTGTCTCGGGACAAGCATGCACCTACAGCACCTGCAATGCCCTGTAGGTAGGTACGTGCATTTGTGTGTAAATGCGGGCTTATGCTGCTACTGCTACTGCTGCTACTTCTGCTGCTGCTGCTGTTCATACTTTATATTGTTTGTTTCTGTTACCATACAGGTCCTCTCCTCCTTTCCCAACAAGTCCTCCTCAGATTGCATTGTGGTAGCTGCCGGTAATGATCACACATCCATCGGCAAGTGTCAGCAGGCGGGCCGGCCTGTCGTCTCACCAGAGTACATTCTCACAGGAGTATTGCGGCAGTCCACGTCAGTTGAAGAGTATCCTTACCCATGACTAAGTTGCTCTTTTGAAAAGAGCTAGCAGGTTGTGTTGCCAGGGCCATGTACAATCATGTACCCTTGTATTTTTGTTCTACACTTGTGGCAAATGTAACTTAACCTTGTGAATAGCAATGCTGCACTACAGTGCAATGCCAAGTTATCCCAGTGCTTGTAATGCCAGTGCTATGCAGTGATCAGCATTGCTGCTCTTGTGATTCAGTTTCCGGGTACAGCTGTAGTTTTGTAGCCGTGCAGGTCCTCAAAAATCATGTGTAAAGTGCTGAAATCAAAATGAGCATAGCGTTCTCAGCTTTGAGACGAAAATCTCCATATTTAAAATGTTGAATAACAACACCTCATTACATTTCATCTGACATCAACTCGTGCTCCAACACCTGTGAGAGGGTGTTGACGGCCTCTGTCGGTTCAGTGTAGTGGCGAGTAGTTTGCAACAATGAACATCGCCGAGTGTCTTATCAAGAACAGTGGGTTGTTTTGGGTAGAAGCAAGCATCATATCATACATGTGTATCACCAGTTGAATCCACATATCCACTGTCAGTGGAGAGCAAAAGGAAGCACTTTCCACTCTCTATGTTTGCCCACCGTACTCTGGGATGGGCATATGTATTTTGGAAATGTGAATATGTGTGTGAATTGAATTGAATTTGAAACTCAGATGTTAAGCCAATAATAAATGTAAAAAGGAAAAGGACATATGGATACGAGTTAAGAGTAACTCTCCATCACTGTAACCAGATACTATAATTATACAGTCAGAAAGTGCAACAACTAGGCACAAATGAATTGAATTCTTCTTCTTTTTTTCGCAAGCTCTTATCGTGTGGCATGCCCTGATGTTCAATCATACTACCGGTGTGTAGTTGTAGGGGCAACAGGCATGCCAGTGATGTGTATGCATAGAGGTGTCCAGTGTCTGCCCAGCTCGTTGTAAAGAGAGGAGTCCAACCAGTGCACTTTGAACATCCTTAACACGCTGCTCTAGATATCAACTTGCACAGGCCGAGAAGGAACCACCACCGTCCACCGCCACAGCCGCTGCTCCCAAAGCAGGTGGGGGTGGTAAGCGTCGATCATCCTTGCCGACGGAGCAGGAGGCACCGGCGGCCAAGCGAGGACGTCGGCGGAGGTGAAGCGGGCACGGTTGCCGTCGCCATCTTACATTCGGTCTTGATCGCCGTACACCGGTTAGCCACTACTAGATGACTGTGTGTGTGCCTGTGGGTTTTGATCATGGGGGAAATCCCCTAACTAACGTATCGGTGCACAGCCTGAAGTGACGATGCCATTGATTGATGCACACTTGATGCACAACGTAGAAACGTGTGAGTATGCATGTACGTCTATTTTCCGCCTTTCTTCGCAGAAGGTCCCATTGAAATGACCTTCCTAGTGCACTATCGCAGAGCCACAGTCAACGTCCATAATACGTATTAAACTCCTGTACAGGTATTCAACCATTTGCATGCTCCCCTGTACACAGTGCTGCTCCACTCAATGTGCTGGTCACATTCACAGTGAACATAGTCGTTTCTTTCCTACCTCACTTTTAGCCGAGCTTTCAGCAACTTAGGCTGCTTTTCATCAAACGTCCAGAAACGTTATTTCTTATGCATGCTTTAGTTACTGTTCTTGAATGGCAGTGCTGCCACTGCCATCCGCCCTTGTGTCACCGTCAACAATCATGAGTTAGTATGTATATCAAAATTATCAATAGCATCTTTTTTTACTCAATTAACTTCGAATTGGTCCATTCTGACACTTGGATTTTCAAGGAAAACTGGTTGTTTTGTTCTGTGCCCGAATCAGCTAGGACAGTGTGATAATAATAGTAGCAGCATTTCGAAGTAGAACAGTATGCAGAGAACAGTAACGGCCAAGCCTGGCCACACCAAACCACACGGAATGCCAGTTTGAACAATTCCAATGTTACACTATCTTTCTGCACGCACAGCTTCAAGGCTGGTAGAGGTCGCCAGACACGCAGACTTTCTCTAAACCCACAGAAGTAGAAGCCACAGTTTGGGCTTCCTACTTGGAAGTCTGTGGTAGCTTCCCCATTTGGCAGTTTTCCACTGTTTGGGGGTAGAAAGCAAACTCATTAAAAAAAAGAGTAAATTATCGTGGCCGTTCCCGAAGGGAACTCACGACGGCCGCTAACACCCGGTAAACCCTAGCGGCAGATGCAGCGCCTAATGGTGGGGGTGAGTGGATAAGTCTCACGACCACTGGTACAAGTGCCGAGAAAGATCCCATTAGCCATATGCATGTACCAGTTTGAACAGTTCCAATCGGTGATTAACGTTACACTATCTTTCTGCACACCCAGCTTGAAGGCTGGTAGAGGCCTGGCAACAAGTTCCCAGTTGACTGTGGGTAGCAGCACAGCTGGAAAAACCGCTCCCAGGCAGGACTTGAACCAGGTACAGTCAACTTCGCTTATAACGACACTCGGCGGGGCATCAGAAAAGTGTCGTTATTCACAAAGTGTCGTTATACCCGAAGTCTCATTATATGTATTACAGTTGGATGGGACTTTGCTCTGGGCATGGAAATTCTGTCGTTATTCGCGAATTGTCGTTTAATATCCGCAGTCGTTATTAGCGAAGTTGACTGTACCTCTCAAACAAACTCATTGAGTTACCGAAAGTACATGTTAGCCTGTAGATGACCCCCCCCCCCCCCCCCCCCCGTAATTGGGAGTCTCGTGTTTCGCATGTCTGCTGGCATGGCTTTGCAAGTGCTTGTCACCATGTTGCCCAGTCAGGCCAAGGCAATTCGGCTACTGTAAGTCTAGTAGTCTACATATTTTCGGCCCATTCAAATTTCGGCCGCATGAAATTTTCGGCCTGTACTGCTGCCGCCTGTATACACTGTCACACTGAACCTTGCAAAACAAAAATTCTGCCGCAATACATTTTCGGCCAAACATGACCAGGCCGAAAATTGCCGAAAATAAATATTCGCATTTTGAAGATTTGCTTACCAGAAATCAACTGCATGGGATGTGGCACGCTGACAAAGAATTTTAAACTGTTACCATGGTTACTCTTGTAGAATACTGTGAAGACAATTGTAATGTGTTGGTGTCAGGTCAATTTTATCCTTCTCCTTTTTCACCATAATTATCATGTCAATGTCTCCTTTAAACCCCTTGGCGGGATATGCTCGGAAATATGCTCGGAAATTTGGCAAATTCTGCTCAAAAAGCAGGCGGGAAAATCCTCAACTTCTGTCCTTCTTTTTTATCCATAACGATACCAAAGATGCATGAAGCATACATGTACCTGAAAAAGTACCGAATTCTGCCAACGTGTCTGCATGCTCAGTACATTATCTGCCAAGGGCTAGTGCCCCTGAGTTGCTATTGTAGATCACCTACTTTAGTATTTCTGTGCAGGTGACCGATATTGGTAGACCCAGGCGCTCAAAGTCCGACCACTTTCACGAGTACATTGTTTGCCGAGCTGAAACTTACACTAGCAACGGACACTTGCCAGAATCCTGCAATGGTAGTGTGCAGGGGGAGGGGTACTAATTTAGGCGGCAGGGTATACCTGCTACACCAGACATACAATCATGTTATTTCTTTTCCTTGTACATCCTCTTTCATTGTCCAACTTCTGGCCATGGCGTCCTTCTCTCAGCTCCTCAGCTGACTGCAGTCACTGTCACCACCATGATACTAATTATGACATTGTTGTGAGAAGGTGCTCGCTGTAGGTTAGACGGGGTTGGTGATGTCCCGAGTCCCGACACGGCCATGGGAGCAAGTTTAAGTGCGTCATCCGCCTTGCAACAATATTGTCATGACGTTAGCAAGAGTACATAACGGTAACCCTGGTAACCCTTTTCTGTTATGACTGTAGGTCTACATGATTGTACTATTGTCAGTATTGACGTTATGATTGAACATTGTACAATCATGTACATGTATATGACTAGACTCCCAATGATTACTGTATTGTTACACTTACAGCAAATCAACATGCACGTGATGGTCAGCCATAGCCGCGTAGGGCCGTAGGCTGACCATCACGTGCCACTCCCTTGGGGATTATGAAAAAAAATATTCTCCTCGGCCTAGCGCCTCGTCCACAATGGTCCATGCACTATCCCGTATCCGTATCTACAAGAGTAGTAAACACTTGCCCGGTCCCACATGCAGTGGCGGATCCGCTGGTGCGACAAGGTTTTGCGGGAGTGGTGTCGCACCTCTCCTGCGACAAAATGCTCGCGTGGTCTCACATGCTCACGCGCGCACGGCGAACGAAGCGAGCGCGCCTCTCTGACTTCCAAAAAATTCAGTGCAGCTCTCCTGCAACTCAAGCATGCTTTCACTTCGAAGTACGCGTGCACGTACTGTACTGATGGTGTACAGTCAGTACTGTGTCTGTGGACAGAACTGTTTCGTCCTTTGTGGACACATCAACGCAGCACTGATGTACTGTTGATGTAGATACTAGGTGTTGGACAGGTCGTTGTTTTTGTTGAGTATCAAGCATTAGTTACATGTCGTGGGTTCGGTATTGTTGACTTTGAGTCTTTGTTCTGTATAGTATACTAGTAATCTGAAAGAATGGATTTTCCGTTGGGTAGAGGTCGATTGGCGAGACGTTGTCGACAGGCAATGGAGACCGCAGCGACATTTTGTTGCTGAATGCTAGTACGAACTTGTTGAGCAGCACGTCGACGATAACCAATGATAACTGCTACAGATAGTAATAATAGTACATGTATCGCTCTTGCTAGACCTACATCACAGTGGTCCCCCTGCGTGGTTTTACATGATGGCCATGCTTGGCTGCTCACGGGTCCGGGATTTGGTCTTTGGCCGACGCCGCAGCCATCGGTTTCAGCTTCTCGGCTATCCACCTATCGCTCCGTATCTCTCTTCATCCCTTGGCCAAACGAGTCTTGACTTCAACATACATGTACAACTGCAGCCGTAGCTGCTCTGACTAAAGTCAAACTGTCCACTTCATGATCGAAAATAAAATCGAACAACAAAAATCGCCCACTATGTCGGAGTGTCGCGCTCGATCGCAGGAGCGGAACTTCCGCAGGAGAGTATACGCTCCAAAAATTTTGGAGTAGCGGATTTGAACTTTCCGCCACGGCGGAAGTTCCGCTACTCGCAGTTTCCATGGTGATACACGCTGTTGCGACACCGCTGCAGCGGATCCGCAACTCTCAAGTGCATGTGGGACCGGGCCCTAAACAGCCATGACAGGTGTACCTGTCTGCCTGTCCGGTCTGCATCTGGCCCTCTGCCTCTGGGATCCGGGAAGTTCTCCGGAACGTTTTCCACAAGACTCAAGAGCTAGCAGCGCGTAAACACATTACATTGTGCTAGTATAATGCTGGACATACTCCATATTCATATCCATCATCATTGTCATTGTAGACAATCCCGGTGATGCTAGCCAGAAGAGTTGCTGCTGCTGCAAGCCGATCGGCCACTCCACTGCCCTGATGGATAGTTAGTTGCTGTTCAGGTTGTTGACGAAGTACGCACTCGGATTGGAATACTACAATAGTAGTAGTCCATACTTGCTCAGACAGCGGCTGAGCCCGGTACTCGGTAGTACTGCAGCGGTAGACCCACACTAGAAGAAAAAAAACACTTGAAATAATTAGTTAGTTGCTAGCATCACTTCACATCTTCGGCCCTACGGATTCTGTCATTCTTTTCATCGCAAGATCGTGGTGTTTAGCATTAGGACACCGCGTACCGTGGCGTGTGTTCGCAGCTGAGCTGCTCGGTGCGCCAAACTGGGGACAGAGTGCCTGTGGTGTTAGTAACTACTTTCATGTAGTTTATTAGCTCACGCCTGGATTCACCAATTTGTGGGAAGCTAGTTGTGCGGAGCGGAGTCGTACCGGTAGATCTGCCCATCCGATCGCTGGTGCGCGTAGACAGTCGGCTAAACACAACATCTAGCAGCACCGTAGATCAACGGTGTGCATGTACTTGCACAGACTGCTGGCAGTGCTGCTGATCAGCAAGTACTATTGTCTAATGTAGTAGCTTAGTTGCAGCAGTGATCAGTGGTGATGTCGCTGCATCTGCAAGGCTACGGTGCACAGGCATGGCAAGAGCGCGTGGCACTGCGCATTGGCGTAGACGTGGGAGGTACGAACACAGACGTGGCTGTGATGCAGGGTAGCTGTGTCCTGTCCTGGCACAAGGCACGCACAAGCTCAAACATCACGCAGGGCGTTGCCGCCGGCATACGCGCCGCACTGTCCACGCTACAGCAAGAGCTGAGCAGCAGGGCGGGTACAAGGGCGGGCGGAGCGGTCACATACGCACAGCTGGCCGCACAGGTACAGCGCGTGTGCATTGGCACCACACACTTTGTTAACGCCGTGGTAGAGCGGCGCAGGAGAGACCTGTCACCAGTCGTGGTGGTACGCCTGTGCTCGGATGCCTCTCAAGGAGTGCCGCCTTTCATTGAGTTTCCGAGAGCACTGGCTGACTGTATGGCAGCCAAGCCCCGAAGCCACTACTTTGCCCGCGGTGGATTTGACTTCAACCAGGTTCCCATGGACAACGTCAATCCAGCCGAGCTAAGGAAAATTGCTGCCGAGTTACGTCAGCATGGCAACAATCATGTCGTCATTTCCTGTGTTTTTGCTACGTTACAAGGCTGCCAGGTGCATGAAATTGAGGCCGAGAGGATAATCCGCGAGGAATTCCCAGATGTGTCCATCACGATGAGCCACAAGGTAAGACCACACACATCGACACACGCCTGCACACCCCCTCACCCCCCCCCCCCCCCACACACACACACATGCATGCCCCCCCCCCCCCCACACACACACACACACATGCATACGTGTACATACATGATGTGACGATGCTCACACAAGACCATCACACAGTGCAGCAACAAAACTCAGACCATGGTGCAATTTCCCATGCACACACATGCATACACATGCATACACATGCACACACATGTGCACACAATGTCATGACAATATTATAACCTAACACTGGTTAAAAACCAGTATTAGATATTAAAACCTTGTTTCATGCTGTCAATCTAACAATTATGTACACACATGTACACACATGCACACACATGGGTTCCGCTGCACACACACGCTCTTAGGTAGCACTCATTGCATGCAGCATAGATTCCTCTTCCTTTAATTACATGTAGTTTTTAAAATATTAATAGTTATTTTAATAGTTGTCTTGGTGCTGTGCCTACTACTTACTGTGCCGCCCAGGTTGGCCGGATGGGACTACTGGAGAGAGAGAACTCTGCCATTCTGAACGAGAGCTTGAAGTCACTGTGTCACCACACAATCCTAGCCTTTGACAGGGCCCTACAGTCTTTAAACCTGCACTGTCCATTCTATCTTACAAAGAATGATGGCACGCTGATCAGGTCAGAGCAGTGGGCACCACGTGCACGCGTACGCATGCACACACACACACATACACAGCAGCACGGGTACGCAGATGTCCACACAACCACGCTATAGTATAATTACGGTAGACCTGTGTTCATTGCGGCATCAGCTAAACGCCTGAAATTTGAACTGTGACTGCAAGTTCTAGAGGTGCATGTATGTGCAACGCATTGCCAAGCATACTTGCATGGCCTGCACTTGCAACCTGGCTATCATGCCCTAGCATACTTGCATGGCCTGCACTTGCAACCTGGCTATCATGCCCTAGCATACTTGCATGGCCTGCACTTGCAACCTGGCTATCATGCCCTAGCATACTTGCATGGCCTGCACTTGCAACCTGGCTATCATGCCCTAGCATACTTGCATGGCCTGCACTTGCAACCTGGCTATCATGCCCTAGCATACTTGCATGGCCTGCACTTGCAACCTGGCTGTCATGCCCTAGCAGATAGGCACACCAGGCTAACCATTGTGACGTCACTGAGACCTATGCTATCGAGGTAGTTCCCGGGCTCTCTGGGAACTCGTCCAGGGCTTGCCTGAGTCCATAATGTACTACAGTTACTGAGTACTGCCGGTCGCCGAAGAACTGGAGGGTCAGCCTCGTAGCCCAGACCGTTCTTTGTTCTACAGCCTATGCACAGTTGAGTCCGGCACCGTGTACTCATTGTTATGCGCCCGACAGTACTGTAGCCGCAGTTAGTATTGTTGTTTAGTATTGTTGTTGTTTTTCTGTAGCCACTGGGTCCTGGAGGTACTCTAGAACTATGCCTCATGCCCAGAAGAGAGAGGTGGGGGGTAGTCTTCCAGTATTGGCATGTGCGACAGTTAGCTGTTTTGTCACTGTGTTTCTTTCTGGTCTTTCTTGCTTATTCTGTGGGCGGGGATGTGTCATTTTCTAAAAAGAAAAAGTAAATAAAAGTAAAAGGCCTCAGCATCTTGGATAGCACTGATTTGTGGCAAGCTCCTTACACGCTTGCTGTTGCCTTGTCTTATCTCAACTGCAGTGCATCCAAGGCACGGAGTTTGCCAGTTGCAACCTTCTCTTGTGGTCCCACCAACAGTGCAAGAGGAGCAAACTTCCTGAGCGGCATCGCACATGCCGTGGTCCTTGACATAGGCGGCACCACGATCGACTCTTGCTACATTAGAAACGGCTACCCACGGCAAGCGTCCAGTGAAGTCAAGGTACGCCCGCAATGATAATATGCTGCAACACAGACTGGAGGTCTACTCGTGGCATGGCACAACGGTGCTGTGGATTGTGTGGCAAATGGAACATTGACACATGTAGTACCATGCCTGGCTGTGGGACTTTCCCCTGACCATCTACTGCTAGCCTGACCATCTACTAGTACTGCTAAGAGTATGCGTGGTAGTGGCCTATGCACAGCCTGTGCAGAAGATGGGTGGTTGCACTCACTTCCCCTAACCTAGGCTATGCACTGACCTGTAAACTTACCTGCAGGTATTCTTATCTACTATAATTGTAATGTGTCCACAGCAGAGTGCAGGCAGTGGACATATACTCATCATCGCTCGTTGATCATAGTACAGTCATGTAGATATATTTGGTGTGCACTTTAAATGCCACGGTGTACCGTACACAGTGTACCGTACACAGTGTACCACCGTACACCGTGCAGACTTTGAATTAAGTTTTAAAAACTAATATGATGCGTCACGGAAGGTACTTTGGGAACCTTCACATGCCACCCGGCCGTGACTGCGTTGTGCGCTCTCCAAGCTGTGTTTCTTGTACACTATACACAGTATAGTGTCCAGCCTAGCTACCTACCTGGCTTCACACGACCGGAACCGTCACATTATGCCGTTCAGGGCTTAAAATGTACTACAGTTATTCTGTCTCGCTGGTTGTTTCCTGTCGATCGGCAGATAGCTGGTGTTAGCGTTGGCTATCGAATGGCAGACACAATCAGTATAGGATATGGCGGTGGATCCATTGTTAGACAGGACGCAAGTGGAAAGGTGAGCAATCTCAACATTATTCCTGGCTATTTTCTCTACGCATTAGCAGCCGTTTGTTCGCGCTGGCCAGCAGAGTGACTGTGTCACCAAATGAGCAATGTCTCCAATTTACAGGGGCGGATCACATGCAAACTCTCGCAATCTTCTAACATGTTCCTCGTGAACGGCTTGGACTTTGGGTATATTGGGTCGTCTATCTTTTATTTTGATGTCGACCCTCTCTGGGGAGTTTTCTGATGCCGACCCTCTCTGTGGTTTTTTTTATGTTGACCCTGTCTGGGGTTTTTCGCCCGCCTTGCTTGTATCTCTTGAACACCTAGGTCACCGTTGGGCCGCAGAGTGTTGGCTTCAGACTCAGCATGCCAGAAACAGGACAAGCTGGAATTGTCTTTGGTGGCTCCACACTCACTGCGAGCGATGTTGCCATTGCTGCCGGAATGGCTAACGACATGAAGGCGAGCATCGATGCAGACGGTGCAGTGTGCGACGATCGACTGGCGGCCACCAACATTGACCCGCGGGTAGTGGAGGCAGCATATGCCTGCATTCAAGACGCCATTGTGGACATAACCGATGTTGTTAAGGTACAGTGTATGTAGATTACTTGAGGTGCCATCAGAGTGTATAATACGTGGCAGTGTAGTCAACAATCTCTCTCTCTCTCTCTCTCTCTCTCTCTCTCTCTCTTATTCTCTCATACCAGTAGCATGTGCCTCGGCACTTTGTACACAGTGTGCTGTGGACTCCACTCCCACAACATGCCACAGGGATGCTTCACACTGGGCTGGGAAATCATGACAAACCAGAGAATGATGATATGGTTTACACTGGGCTGGGAAATTGTCACATTACGTGTACCTAACTTAGCATTCACGTGACCCGTGTGTAGCTTGTCACTCTTCACACTTTAGTCTACTTGTATTGTGCAGGTGATTTGTAACGTGACAAGGGAGTGTCCACTACACCGCGTGCAGAAAGAAAGAAAAAACCCACGTGTGAATAGTGTATGGGGCTGTGTGAATAGTGTATGGGGCTGTGTGAGTAGTGTATGGGGCTGTGTATGCCCGGGCTATGTATGGGGCTGTGTGAGTAGTGTATATAGTGTGAGTAGTGTATGGGGCTGTGTATGGGGCTGTGTGAATAGTGTATGTAGTGCGAGTAGTGTATGGACTATGGGGCTGCGTGAATAGTGTATGTAGTGCGAGTAGTGTATGGACTATGGGGCTGTGCATGGGACTGATTGCTGTACTGTGTACTGTGGCGGCATGCAGGGTAGCGCCGGAGAGGTGGACGTCATCCTCGTCGGCGGTGGTAGTGAGCTTGTCGACACAAGGGAATCGCGACGACCGCCGGGTGTGTCCCGTTTCGTCAAGCCCCAGTTGTGCCAGGTGAGGTCACAGTCTGTGCATGTGTGTGCTTTATTGTTTATTACTTTGGAGCATTTAAAAAGGACTTTTGGGCCAAAGTTGGTTGTTCCTACGTTCTAAGTTCGTTTTTGGGCCAATTTTTGAAATTATCCTGGTAAGCTTTCCTGGGGATTTGCAAACTCCATTGCAGCCAAATATTACGTTTTCATACTGTGTATCTGAAATGGAATTGAATTCTGTGACGGCTGGGGGGGGGGGGGGAATAAGGCGGATGCTGCAGTAGATCATTCCCGCCAAGAGTACATAAACCAGAGTGTGCAACTCAGGATGGTTCCTGTGGGAGCGTAATCCGCGCAGTACGTCATTTCTGACGGCATGAATGCATGGTAAGCCACAGGTACGGTGAAAAGTTGCGTAACCAGTCGCGGTGGTGGAGGTGACTGAGTTTGTCCTGATTTCGGTTTTTTGATACGGATAGCCTGGTGAATTTACTTGCCTGCTGATGTACGCAGCGTACGCAGTCACACAAAAACACCGAAATCCTAAAACAGGACGTCTAAATCATGCAAACTTGGCTGATTTCCGGACTGTGAAACACGAAAATTTGAGCTGTGCGCAAGTTGCAGCTTAGCTGACCTCATCAGGGTGACGTAGTGCACGAACTGCGGTGTTTCATATCTGATATGCACAGTTGCACACTCTGGTTTATGTACTCTTGTTCACACCCATTGCTGAAGTGCTACAAGCGACGTTAAGACTCGCTTTATATGCATCCCACAAGCACCATCTTCTATTGCGGCAGAAGTGTTTCTTGCTGGTAGTGATTTAGTGTACTTTTTTGCTGGGTTCAACCGCTGTGTCACCTGCGAATAGGTTGCAAATGCTATCGGTGCGGCCCTGGGTCAGATCAGCGCCTCTGTGGAAGGTATCTACACCAGCTCCAATGACCCGCAGCAGCGCGCACAGCAGCATGCTGCATTCAGGGAGCAGGCCAGGGAACTGTGCGTGGCCCACGGTGCTATGAGAGAGTCCGTCGTCGTGCAAGAGCCGACGGAGACCGCCATGAGCTATTTGCCTGGTATGCGGTGTGACCTCAATCGGTTCTGTATGGTGTGTCTGTCTGTTCTGTCTGGTGTGTTTGTGTTCTGTATGGTGTGTTTGTGTTCTGTATGGTGTGTTTGTGTGTTCTGTATGGTGTGTTTGTGTGTTCGGTATGGTGTGTTTGTGTGTTCTGTATGGTGTGTTTGTGTTCTGTATGGTGTGTTTGTGTGTTCTGTATGGTGTGTTTGTGTTCTGTATGGTGTGTTTATGTTCTGTATGGTGTGTCGCTGTGTACTGTATGGTGTGTTTGTGTGCTCTGTATGGTGTGTTTGTGTGTTCGGTATGGTGTGTTTGTGTGTTCTGTATGGTGTGTTTATGTTCTGGATGGTGTGTCGTTGTGTTCTGTATGGTGTGTCGTTGTGTACTGTATGGTGTGTCGTTGTGTACTGTATGGTGTGTCGTTGTGTTCTGTATGGTGTGTCGCTGTGTACTGTATGGTGTGTCGTTGTGTTCTGTATGGTGTGTCGTTGTGTTCTGTATGGTGTGTCGTTGTGTTCTGTATGGTGTGTCGTTGTGTTCTGTATGGTGTGTCGCTGTGTACTGTATGGTGTGTCGTTGTGTACTGTATGGTGTGTCGTTGTGTACTGTATGGTGTGTCGTTGTGTTCTGTATGGTGTGTCGCTGTGTACTGTATGGTGTGTCGTTGTGTTCTGTATGGTGTGTCGTTGTGTTCTGTATGGTGTGTCGTTGTGTTCTGTATGGTGTGTCGTTGTGTTCTGTATGGTGTGTCGTTGTGTTCTGTATGGTGTGTCGTTGTGTTCTGTATGGTGTGTCGTTGTGTTCTGTATGGTGTGTCGCTGTGTACTGTATGGTGTGTCGTTGTGTTCTGTATGGTGTGTCGCTGTGTTCTGTATGGTGTGTCGTTGTGTTCTGTATGGTGTGTCGTTGTGTTCTGTATGGTGTGTCGTTGTGTTCTGTATGGTGTGTCGTTGTGTTCTGTATGGTGTGTCGCTGTGTACTGTATGGTGTGTCGTTGTGTACTGTATGGTGTGTCGTTGTGTACTGTATGGTGTGTCGTTGTGTTCTGTATGGTGTGTCGCTGTGTACTGTATGGTGTGTCGTTGTGTTCTGTATGGTGTGTCGCTGTGTTCTGTATGGTGTGTCGCTGTGTTCTGTATGGTGTGTCGCTGTGTACTGTATGGTGTGTCGTTGTGTTCTGTATGGTGTGTCGCTGTGTTCTGTATGGTGTGTTTGTGTTCTGTATGGTGTGTTTATGTTCTGTATGGTGTGTCGTTGTGTTCTGTATGGTGTGTCGCTGTGTTCTGTATGGTGTGTCGCTGTGTTCTGTATGGTGTGTCGCTGTGTACTGTATGGTGTGTCGTTGTGTTCTGTATGGTGTGTCGCTGTGTTCTGTATGGTGTGTTTGTGTTCTGTATGGTGTGTTTATGTTCTGTATGGTGTGTTGCTGTGTTCTGTATGGTGGGATGACACTGCACGATGATCCCACTGTCGTCACACGCACCTTGCCACCTGGATCGGAGCTTCTCGTGTATGGTGGTGCCCATCTCTGGCGGTACACTGTTCTTGCCAGTGCATCCTGGCACTGGATGGATGTGCGAGATAGAGCTGTAGACAAGTTCATCGTGAAATACCTTTGGAAATGGCCGCGCAGCGCAGGGTTCCACAATGTGCAGGGTTCCACAATGTGCAGGGTTCCACAATGTGCAGGGTTCCACAATGTGCAGGGTTCCACAATGTGCAGGGTTCCACAATGTGCAGGGTTCCACAATGTGCAGGGTTCCACAATGTGCAGGGTTCCACAATGTGCAGGGTTCCACAATGTGCAGGGTTCCACAATGTGCAGGGTTCCACAATGTGCAGGGTTCCACAATGTGCAGGGTTCCACAATGTGCAGGGTTCCACAATGTGCAGGGTTCCACAATGTGCAGGGTTCCACAATGTGCAGGGTTCCACAATGTGCAGGGCTCCACAATGTGCTTTTTGACACGCTAGAATGACCTGTGGTTGCGTGAATAGGAATGTTGATGTTCTATCTCCAGGGCCCGGATTGGCCGTGTATTTTCAAGTGCTCGTGCAGCAATCCACCCATCTGGCTATCTGTGTGTGTGTGTGTGTGTGCATGTGTGTGTGTGCGTGTGTGTATATGTGTGTGTGTGTGTGCACGTGTGTTACAGGGCGAGAGGTGCAGATTCACGTGCTTGCTGTCGGAGATATCGACGAAAGCAGGGAAGTTTCATTGGAGGAAGAGATAGAACAACCATTGCCTGCTGCACCGGTTATAGAGCCTGCTGCTGACGGTGATGACAACCCCGCGACAGCAGCAGCTGAAGAGTTCTCACCTCCAGTCAAGCACGATAAGGTAAGTTTCTGTAAGGGTTCTCGGTTAGTATCATTAGGGCGATAAGGCAGGAGGAGAGGGGCAGTGGCGGGGGGGGGGGGGGGGGAGGAGGAACACCCGGGTCACACATGTCAGACAGCAGTACATGTACCAACCTGTCTGCCCTGTAGATCAAAACAGGCTTATATTCGAGATAGGTTTTAAAGGGGAAGTCCGGTGAAAAATTTAAATTTCAGGGTCGGTAGAGTTTCGGGCGCTGAGTCGAATGGTGTTGGTCCCACGTGTCTCCGACAAAGCATTCTCGAGATATTTTCGTTTGAAAAACTGAGTTTCGGAGGGCTGCGCCATGACGTCATGCGGCCGCACCACACCCTCCACAACATCATAGCGTGCAGCTAGATCAAAAGGAGTGCGTGAAAGCAATAGTGTCAGTGCTATTTCAAATGATTTGGCGACCGATAGTAGGTGGTGCAAGCGACCCCGAAGACATAACTCCTCGTGAGAGTGATATAATGAGGATGCAGCCATGGCTGACCTTCATGAGTTCGGTCTGGGGCTGAGAACCTCGGTATTCAGCTGAAAAAATGGCCGCGCGGGCCGGTCAAGAGTGAGCGCTACTGAGCTTCCGACTGATGAAGAAGCAGCAGCTATTGCAGACGAGGCTGATATAATTATCAGATCGCTGGAGAGCAGAGTCGCCAAAATGGAGAAGAGTGATGCGAGTGCTCTAAATGTTGTTCCATACCGATTCGCTTAGACTCCAGTAGCCTGCCACATGGTGATGTTTTGGTGCGAACTTGGCATATTTCGGACTACTCAATTGGAGAACAGTGCAGGCTCTTTGAACTACTGGCACGACTCTTCGCTAGCAACGCTACGAGATCTGAAAGTTCTAGGTCCGGGAGCTGTTCGCTGTTTTGTCACTTGTCACGGTTGTGCACTCATCGCAGTAGCATAAAATAGTGAGGCGGGAGCGGAAACTAAAATTTTCTTTCTCAAAGCGCAACCACCGGCACCGGCAAGGAGAAACGCACGTTCTCTGACTACATGAACTGATACGAGTGTAGTACATGACAAGTCCGTGTGTTGACTAGTTTTCTGAGTCTTGTGACTCGAGTCTTGTTGTAGCTACCCCAGCACGGCAGTGCGGGAGTACAGTCATGTAGTTAAGTGTGTGATGAGTTTGTTGACTACACTACAGCTAGCATGCACGCAGCGCATTGCTAGAGCCGTAGAGGCCAGTGCATGCCGACGGAAAAAGTCCAACTCGGAAACGGCTAAAATACGGTATAACCTCGAGGTTTACCGAGCTGATAATCACTGGGTACGTAGTGTTTGTGACACTGAATCGAATGGTCTTGGTCCGAAGAAGCTGCGACAAACGATTCCCCAATCGAACGCGCTCCGAATATGGCCATTTTGTACACAACTAGATGGTGTGGCTACCTGGCTGCACGCTGTGACGTCATCACCTGGATCTGGGTGATGCGCGCTCAAATTCGCACATGTTCGATTGGGCGTATCTGACGAACCATAGGCCGCAGCCTCCTCGGACAAAGACCATTCTACTCAGCGCCCCGAACTCTACGGACTGTGAAAATTAAATTTTTCACCGGACTTCCCCTTTAATACAAGACATTACGGCATACGACTGGAGTACATAGACTGTGCATGTGTGCATCCGGGTTTTCTTCTACTGTATGTGCAGATTCTCGGCAGTCTTCCGGACTATGTGGAGCGCCAGATCAACCCTGAGACCGGCGAGTGGACTCTGAACGTGTATGACGTTTGGTGCCTGACGATCGGCGCTGGTTTACTGGGCTGTGGCGGTGGTGGCAGTCCAAGTTTAGCCAAGCTCCGATGCCTGCGTGCACTGGATCAGGGCGCTTGCATCCGAGTGATACCACTAGACAGGTATGTGCATGCTTCTGGAACCCGTTGCATAACATTTTTTTAGGAGTCATTTACCTTTCCAAAGCAGCAAGAAAACGGCGTGACCAAACAACAGGAGACGGACTTGGTACTGGCCAATTGAAAAGTGTGTGCATGTGTGTGTGTGTGCGTGTGTGTGCATGCGTGCGTGCGTGTGTGTGTGTGTGTGTGTGTGTGTGTGTGTGCATGCGTGTGCGTGACAGAAAAGTCACTTCAAACAGCTGTGTGGTGGATACCAGGCTAAAAATAGTGGCGGTCAATTCATCAGCCTTGCAAGCTGTTAAATGGTGTAATCCCAGCACAAGTTGCTATGTCTAACAATAGCTGTTCGCTATCATCGCTTTCGCGATGGGCATGTCTGAGGTCTGAGGTGTGCGTGTGTGTGTGTACATGGCTGCATGAACTTGTATGTGTGTGTATGTGTGTGTAATCGTGTGTAATTGTGTGTATGTATGCACATGTGTATGTATGCACATGTGTATGTATGCAGGATTGGAAGCTGTCCTGAGCTTACCGGTGTTGTAGCTAGTGTAGCATTCATGGGAGCACCGACTGTTGTCAAGGAGAAACTTGTGGCGGGCAACGAGCTGAGGTCGAGTATCTGTGCTGTTCAGAAGTTGTACAACAAAGGTGAGCTGTACCGGTTTGCTAGTTCACTCGTGCACTGCTACACTGCTACCATGCATCCACAATCATACATGTGGGTGCCACAGACAGCTAAAGCATGTCTTAGAATTTATTTATTCCAGAAAATCGTCACTTTGCTCGCCAGCTACTTGAACTAGACCGATGATGGTGAGAGCACAGTTTGACAAGAGGATTCGTCACCGGTTGATGATTGAAGCACAGCGTGAACGCGCTCCATAGCACCAATCTATTTCCATCATGCCTCAATTATTATTTATATTTTTACGAAAACCCAAAAGACATGTTTTAGCTGACAACTAACAGACGAAAAGAGTGGATATCAACCGTGCATATCCTCTGCATCGATAACATGGATCATGTTTACATCGTTGGAAGTAGCACCTATGTATCAGTCGACATTTCTTGTGCCTATGTAGCCACTATCATTGTTTATTTTTCTTCTGTGTGTGACTTTGATATGAGCTTACATTACTAGTTTTGCTGCTGTTGTTGCTGCTGCAGAACACCATGCAGACATTCTTGTGGAGGAGCGCGACAAAGGCCTGACGGTTGTGGTTAGTGGCCTGGATGATGTCTGTCTTCCGCAACATGCGGAAAGAACTCGTGCAGCGCTTTCCCAGAGAACGGATATGCCGGTAAGGTTCTGCGAGAAGACCAGTTCCAACTATGGAGACGAAACAAGAAAGAGAGAGAGAGAAGGGGAGAGAGAGAAAGAGAGAGAGAGAGAGAGAAAGAGAGAGAGAGACAGGCAGAGAGAGACAGACAGACAGAGGGCGGGGGAGAGCTTTGACTGCTGTGTACTTCAAGTACGGTGCATGCGATCCATCCACCATGACAGTGTGTTGCAGTGACTTTCCGGTGTGTAGCAATGTCCCTCTTTCAGTTTCTAATGGATGGTAATTGTGCCGTTCCTTTTTTTCCTGCAGGGTGTTTCATCAACCGTTGCACTCATGCCGCTGGAAGTGGGTGGTTTGAACGGCATTGGACCATTGGTGATCGCCGCTGAAATGGGCGTGCCCGTGGTGGACTGTGACGGCATGGGACGCGCGTTTCCCGAGCTGCAGATGTTCATTCCGTTCATCTATGGCGTGCAGCCGTGCCCGTGTGCGCTGGTCTCCGCCGATGGCCGATGGAGAGCATGCACTGCTGTCCGCGATCACAACCAGCTTGAAACGTTCATGCGAGAGGCTGTCGGCACGTTCGGGTAAGACCTACCTCAACTTTCCAAACACTTTCCTGAAGATACAGTGTACATTGTACATACATGTGTACATGTATGGGACTAGTTTTTTTGTGTGTGTGCACTGCATGCTGTCAACCAGGGAGTCGTAAGATACCGACTCCCTGCTGTCAACTGTGTACTGACACTGTAGACAACATGAATGTGAATGTAACGAAAATGTATGGGACTAGTGGCATCAGTGCACTCCTCTGTGTGCTTTTATGGAAACCGCATGAGGCTGAGGAACGTTTTTATTAGTGCAATGATAGCACGGTGTTCTTATCCGAGTGTCACTCTATCTTTGCATTCTAATTTGAACAGATGCATCGCTGCACTATCTGTAGCTCCACTGGAGAAGAGTACCATGGAGAAGTACTGTGTTGCAGGATCGCTGACAACCAGCTACAAGATTGGCCATGCAGCGCTTAGTGCACTGCGTGAACATCTCGATCCAGTCACGGCCATCGAACGTGCGGCCAAAGCTGTGCTGATTACACGCGGCAAGGTATGGCTGTGTGTGTGTGTGTCCATGTGTGTCCGTGTGTGTGTGTGTCCTAGCTCTTCTTTCATTCTCCTGAGCACTTACCTACAGCCAGTGTATGCCGGAGTATGCGGTGTGGTGTGCGTGTGTCGAAAAGGAAAAAGTGAAAAAATGAAAAATGGAAAAATGAAAAATGAAAAATAGGGATTCACTGGCCAGAAAAAAGTCACTTCAATCAGCTGTGTGGTGGATACCAGGCTAAAATTAGTGGCGGTAAATTCATCAGCCTTGCAAGCTGTTGAATGGTGTAATCCCAGCACAAGTTTCTATGTATAAACATAGCTGTTCGCTATCATCGCTTCCGCGATGGGCATGTCTGAGTCTGAGTGTGCGTGTGTGTGTGTCCGTGTGTGTGTGCCAGCTAGTTCGGTTGGTGAGTGTACTTATGCCAGATTGTGTTGGGCCTGTTGCCAACGGGCTCAGCTGCATGAAGGGTGTGTCATTGTACCTGCCACCTTTCTTGGTTTCAGGGTTCACATACTTTCTATTTGAAGTATACATACCGGCTTAACCATGTACATGTACATGTACATGTACTGCTTCTGGCTAGATTAACTGTTGTGTAACCAAGGGTGCTAGTGACGTTTATAATATCAGATCCACTCTGATATAGCCACCCACACTAGTAGCAAGCCGTACCCTCACTGGGGGCAGGGGTAACTGCAGTTGGATCCCGGGACGGATACCCTGACGCCGTCAATCTTTTTTTTTGCACCTTGTCCTCACCCACTTACTGAGGTGTGGTGAGCCCATAAGTGGGATCATCAAGTCCACCGATAGTTTGGGGATTTCAGGGGGTGTCGGCTGTTGGGCGGGTCAATTAAGTCACCTTTCCAAGATTCCTTTCGAGTCTCTCTCCCCTCTCCCGGGGAGACCCACGTGACCAGTTTTGGCAGTGAGCAAGTACAAGTACAAGTGTGTGTGTGTATATGTAGGAGTGTGTGTCCGTGTGTGTGTTTGTGTGTGTATGTGTGTGTGTGTGTGTGTGTGTGGTGTGCGAATGTCTGTGTGTGTGCATGTACATGTACATGTATGTATATGTGCACGAATATACAGCAAGGCGTGAAGTACCGTCGATCAGACTCTCTCTCTCTTTCTCTCTCTTCTCTCTCTCTCCCCCTCTCCCTCTCTCTTTCCCTCTCTCTCTCTCCCTCTCCCTCTCCCTCTGCCCTCTGCCCTCTCCCCGCTCCCCTCTCTCTCTCTCTCTCTCCCTCTCCCCCTCTCCCCTCTCCCCTCTCTCCTCTCTCTCTCTCCCCTCTCTCCTCTCTCTCTCTCCCCTCTCTCTCTCTCTCTCTCTCTCTCTCTCTCTCTCTCTCTCTCTCTCTCTCTCTCTCTCTCTCTCTCTCTCTCTCTCTCTCTCTCTCTCTCTCTCTCTCTCTCTCTCTCTCTCTCTCTCTCTCTCTCTCTCTCTCTCTCTCTCTCTCTCTCTCTCTCTCTCTCTCTCTCTCTCTCTCTCTCTCTCTCTCTCTCTCTCTCTCTCTCTCTCTCTCTCTCTCTCTCTCTCTCTCTCTCTCTCTCTCTCTCTCTCTCTCTCTCTCTCTCTCTCTCTCTCTCTCTCTCTCTCTCTCTCTCTCTCTCTCTCTCTAGTTTCTAACTCCTGTTGGTTTTCTACCTTTGAAGTGACTTCAGTGTATACAAGTACTTGTATGTGTATGCTACAATCCGTTAAACCGACGCCTGCACTGCCACGCAATGTGCTCCAGTGTAGACATGCTTGCTCATGAAACTGTGTACAATCAAGCACAACAAGTCTGTGATCTTTCGCGTAGCTATACATCATACTGCACTTGACAACCTAGATGTCCCCTACTGGAAACCTCATTGGGAAGCACCACGCCATGGTGTGTGTTGGGGGGGGGGGGGGGGGGAGCAGTATGTTTTCGGTACATGGCCATGTAGTGGGATATTCTGCCGGACTACGAGTACAGTTCTGTGCCGGACTACGAGTACAGTTCTGTGCCGGACTACGAGTACAGTTCTGTGCCGGACTACGAGTACAGGTCTGTGCCGGACTACGAGTACAGGTCTGTGCCGGACTACGAGTACAGGTCTGTGCCGGACTACGAGTACAGGTCTGTGCCGGACTACGAGTACAGTTCTGTGTACCTAAAGAAGTACTGTAAAAGCCATTATTCTAACGAGTCGCATATATAACGATTTCCCAAAATTGACTAGTTTACGTGTACCAAAGGTAACGATTTTCACTCATTCTCAACGCTCAATAGGACAGTATATGTATCGATTTCTGTATAACGATTTCTATTTTAACGACAGATTTCTCCTCGTTAACTCAGTAGAGTTAGCACTTCGTTATATATATATTTATCGCCTTCTTAGTATTTGACCCCACTAATTTCCCTGATACCTAAGCGGTCAAATATATCGCGTATTTGACTGCTTAGTCAAATACACGATATATTTGACTACTTATATTTGACTCCTTAGAATTTCTTGGACTTAGAAATTTTCTCTCCAACTTCGAAAAAGAAATTTTTGAAGAAAGCAGAAATACACAAGATGGGATTTCAATTTTGAACCCACAACCTTGTGAATCTCAGTCACTCTTCCTTACCACCCAGCCACTGTGCTACCGATGCTGAACCTAGTTTAAACAATGATCCTGACTTTCAATGCAGTACAATGCAGTATAGGCTATAGTATAATACTAGAATTACAAGGATATGTCGTATATGAAGCGAAACTATTGCGTGGAGAACACGATAAATAGATTATAGACCTCATAGTTGGTCTATACAGGATATATAGACCTCGTAAAAGACCTCGGTCTTTTACTCGGTCTATATATCCTGTATAGACCTCCTAACCGGTCTATAATCTATACATATATGGCTTTTACAGTAGTGGGAACAGGTGATTGTACTGTTGGTACGCTGTACCTTACAGGATGTCATGTGCTGTCATCATTGGCATTGGTATTGCTGCTGCTGCTGTTGTTGCTGTTGCTACTGCTGCTGTGGCTGCTGCTGTTGTTGCTGCTGTTTCTGCTGCTGCTGTTGCTGTGCTGCCGCTATTGCTACTGCTTTCTCTCCAGATTATTGACAGTCGGCTCGAAGTGAAGGATGCATTTGCCCGTGGTAACGTCACCATTGCGTCGTTCCTCAGCTGGGACTCGGCCGGCACGCAGTACCGCATAGACATTCAGAACGAGTACATCTGCTGCTTGCAACTGAACCGTACGACCACAGGCACTAGCGACCACTGTGCAGCCAACCAGCGTGAACCGTCGCAGGCCATGACCGTGGTGGCGACGGCACCGCACCTGATCACGCTCGTCGACGACGACACCGGCTTCCCGATCACGACGGAGGAGCTGCGAACTGGACAGCGGGTCGCCGTCCTGGCCGCGCCGGCAGATCCTCTGCTGCTCAGGCCGGAAGCGCTGCGAGTGGTCGGCCCGCAGCACTTCATGAGCGATGCCGAGCAGTACGGTGGCATTGCACACACAGAGCCTATCTTCCCGGAGCGGCGTCGCCCACACTGCGCCGAGTGAAGAGTGCCATTTTGCACTTTGTAGGCTGTGGCGCTGCAAACTTGATTCTAACCTACACTGAGATGTAATGCAGACTCGGATTTAGAGCCAAGGATTAAAATTCAAAAGAGAAGACCACTGAAAGGTCTACAAGTTATCCGTTTTTTGTCCAACGCTATAAACAATAATTATAACTTGAGCACAGTACTGTAGGAGTCAGTGGGTAATGCCGGCATTATTATTGATCATATATGGGATTTTTGATTTCGAGGCATTATAGCGCATTATCTAGGAGTCAGTGGGTAATGCCGGCATTATTATTGAGCATTTATACCTCACTCCATATTCACCCACATACAATTGGCGATCTACATAAGTGGTGAATATTGCTGAATATTCACCGCTTATATTCACCACTTTTCGATACTTACATTGTACTGTAAAGAGAGCAGTACTCGGTGCTGCGCTTGATTCCTCTTCCGTCAGCGCACCGGAGCTGTCGAGTGCCCTAGAAAATGTCTACGCTAACTTCCTTAGACAGGACTTTTCTGAGTACAAACGAAATAATTCCTTGCTTGCCATTGCCGCTGGATCCGCATGTGACCAGGTGCTGACAGTGAGCATCTTCACAGACGGAGCGTTTCAGCGAGAAAACAAGGTTTTGGACGCTCAACATGTCAATGGCCCGATGATTGCGGATCAAGCGGCAAGCCAGGAATTTCGTTTGTACTCAGAACAGCCCTGTTCAAGGACGTTAGCGTAGAATTTTCCTAGGGCACACAACAGCTCCGAAGCGCTGCCTAAAAAGAAAAGAAGTGAGAGTAGAACCGCTTGGCTCGCTGTTATAAACCGACTCCCGAATTGGCGCGATGGTCGCGGATTGGTCAAATCTTCGCGTGAAACGAAACCTCTCTCTGATTGGTCAAATCTTCGCCGAAACGAAACCTCTCTCTGATTGGTTAAATCTTCGCGTGAAACGAAACCTCTCTAATGATTGGCTTCCGCCACAACGCTGCACGAGCGTGTTCTCCATGGTGATTGGCACGAGCGTGTTCTCCAAGGTCGTCACCTCCCATGCCACATGTGTACACGATCGATTGAACAAGATTCTGAACACGCCGCCCTCCGATTCAGGCAAGAACACGCCAGTCGGTCTGAAGGCTCAGTGAAACAACGACTTACGTTAGTTCTGTGTACATGTACATGTACATGTATGACCAACAGGACTGGTTTGTTGGGTTTTAGGGACGAGCGGGTGAATATGGAGAGGTATAAGTCTAATATTACCTTCAGCCTCGTGAATATGGGCGAATATTCCCTAGTTATACAAACCTCGGCTTCGCCTCGGTTTGTATACTAGTGAATTTATTACACACACTTGAGAGGGGCGATAAGCGTTTCTTCTGTAACTCTGAGTTTCACGGTTTTAACCGATCATCAAACAGCAACATAATAATATTATTATGTATCTGAGACACAACTTTCTTTGATTTTTGTGGTGGCTTTTAAAAAAGCCGGTTGAATAGCTGGTTCCTTGAGCTGAGAGAATCCGGGTAGATGTCTAACCACGCTCTCCACGGATGCGACGACCCAGCTCCAAGTCTTTCAGTCTGGCGGCGAGTTGCTGCTGGCTGGGCACGCGGCGTTTAGCTCCCTTTTGATATTCACGGCGTCGTATTAGCCGGAGAGCCTCAGGACCTGGGCGGTGGCGAAACTTCTTCTGGCGCCTTTTCTCGCCTCCAGCAGACTCAGAACAGGGAACAGTCTTCTTCACGGGCTCAGCGCCCCGGTGACACGCCTCTTGCCGTGCAAGTATCAGCTTGCGAACGTATTCTCTGTAGGCTTCCCCGCCGCCTCCCGTAGACATGCTAGCGAACCGTCTCTGCTTGCGAGCCATTTTCAAAGAAGATAGAATATCCGATGCTGACTGCCAAAATAATTAATGATGATCTGACGAGAGATATTCGCTTAGCTCTTATTTATACCTGGTTCGATTCCCCGAACCGCGCAAGCACTTGATTGGTGGTCAAATACATGTACTGCGGAAAAGATTCTCACGCCCACGGCTAGTGCATGCAGCAAGTACTCGCTAGCTTTTGCTAGCTAGAATCGTGACGTGGCGTGAGTTCCACTTGAACTGAGTCATAGTAAGTGCTTGAACCATTAGTTGTCCAAAATGCTGACGTAACAGTCGTTGTGTGTAAGGACTTACTATTACAGTGAGTATCTATAAAGAAGAGGCACCTGTGACGTGTGTCTGTGTGTGTGTGTGTGTGTGTCACGCTCCTTATAAAGAAGAGGCACCTGTGACGTGTGTTTTTGTGTCACGCTGAAGCGCGCTGCGGAGCAGCGCTGCCCTGGCCTGAGCACGCGAAGCGTGCGAACCGTGTAGCACAGTACAGTGTAGCTAGCGGCCGCAGAAGCACTGAGCACGCGAAGCGTGCGAATCGTGTAGCGCTATAGCTAGCGGAAGCAGCCACAGTACAGAAGCACTATGTACTAGTGCACTGAGCACGCGAAGGGTGCGAATCGTGTAGCCACCACCACGTGCTGAGCACGCGAAGCGTGCGAACAGTGTAGGTACGGTACGGTGGTAGGAGACACGATCAGTACGAGTAGCAGCTAGCAGTACAGTAGCGCTAGCAGCCGCGCGCAGAAGCACTGAGCACGCGAAGCGTGCGAATCGTGTAGCTAGCGGAAGCAGCCACAGTACAGAAGCACTAGTGCACTGAGCACGCGAAGGGTGCGAATCGTGTAGCCACCACCACGTGCTGAGCACGCGAAGCGTGCGAACAGTGTAGGCGGTAGCAGACACGATCAGTACGAGTAGCAGGAGCAGCCGCGCGCAGAAGCACTGAGCACGCGAAGCGTGCGAATCATGTAGCCACCTAGCCTAGGCCGTAGCACTAGCAGGCTAGCAGCCGCACAAGCGCTGCGGACCACGCGCGTGAACCATTCTCTGCAAATAGAAACATCTGCAACAAAAGGATACAAAAGATCTGCACTGACTGCACTCTGCATCTGATCTGCAGTGAAGAGCGCATCGCACTTTTGTTCGTAAGTTTATGAATTTTTTGAGCCGCTTCATCCGCCACCAGGTGATGGACAACCCTGACCAGCCTCCCGAAGGCGTAACAGACGTCCCTCCTTCTCCTTCCAACGATGAAGAACCTCCCTCACCAGGATGATCCCCCCAGGACTTCAGCGGTCTGGCCACCACCACGTGCTGAGCACGTGTGCTGTTCATGTACTTGCTTCACCCGCATGCCACATTCGGCCAGGCAACGCTGGCCGGTGGTGCACCAGGTGATGGACAACCCTGACCAGCCTCCGGAAGGCGTAACAGACGTCTCTCCTTCTCCTTCCAACGATGAAGAACCTCCCTCACCAGGACTTCAGTGGTCTGGCCACCACCACGTGCTGAGCACGTGTGCTGTTCATGTACTTGCTTCACGCGCATGCCACATTCGGCCAGGCAACGCTGGCCGGTGGTGCTGCTAGTCGTTTATAAAGTGACCGGGTGTAACGATATACCGGCTATAATGATCGAACTCGCCAAAATCAAAATCAAATCACAAAAAATACAGCTAAAATATCACTATACACACTATTATCGGCTATACCGATATATCGCTTACTGTAAATATACAAAATTTCGGCGCTGCAAAATTTCGGCACTTCACGATTTTTGACATTTCCGCGGCGATTTATTTTCGGCGTGGGGTAGAGGGCACGGTATAGTGCGACAGATGCAGTGAAAAATTTCATCGGCGTTTTAATTTAGGCGTTTTGGGTCGGTGCCGAATATATAGCCGAAATTAAATAGCTGCCGAAAATTTGTATATTTACAGTATTGTGATGGGCTTCAGGAAGCAAACCATATCAAATGCACAGGAAAATATCGTATATACTGATCAAGAGTGATGATCACAAAACAATTGTTCTTCAAATTTAGTTGATTTCTTCCAAAACTGATCCAGTGTTGCCTGGATGCATCTGGCAGCAGACGTGATTGAGAGAAAATTCTTCCCTGTATGCTGTAAGCAGCCACATGTGCACGTGGCTGCTTTTCATGCTTTTTCCAGCATGTACGCATCATTTCAGGCACAGTCATGTGCCATGTGTCAGTCATACATGCAAATCGGCTATAGTGATGCACCGGATATAGTGATAAATTATCGAAAATCAAAGGGGCACGTTATATCCACTATTTACTGTACAGCCTTGGCTGCTTCGCGTCGGTGGAGCACATCAGTCATCAGACCACGTCACCACGTCCACGATTCATGCCTGCGAAGGCTGCGATGCTGACCAGCCGTTCAAGAGTTATGGCAACTTATGGCCGAAAATGTGCCCTTGCAAGGAAAGATTTTTTTGTTGCACGCTGTCATTTGTTGGCAGCACTGTATTTGAATGTGAGCAGACCGTGCGCAACTTGTCGTATTATGGAAACACACGAAAGTGTGCAGAATTTTGCTCCAGGACTTTTGCCAGCACGCTCGTGACGTTGCAGATATGTGGCTTGATTATTGTACAGTTGTGGCAAGTGAAATCCGACACTTGGCATAAGGGACTGCACCGTGCATCCTGCAGCCTCTGCAGCCCTGCATACGTACAGTACATGTGCTGCATACAACTTTATCTGTCTGATGACAGAATTCGTACTCATCACAGTCAAGGTTCAAAAGGTGCTGGCAAAAATGAATGGGAATTGGATACCAATACTCCTTATGTGTACCATGTTTGTGAACTGTGTGTATCTAAGCTGTGACCTTTCGACCTGTTTGGGATGCATACGGCTCTATAGTACAAATTAGGTGCAGTGCATTACATCATTGATGTCCATTTGAGGCGCTGTCCCCTATGGCAAGTGTCGGATTTCACTTGCCACAACTGTAGTTGACGTTGATTTAGTGACTTTGGCAAGTAACTAGTTTGAGTCGTGTCAAGAAGTCAGGTAGGATTCAGTACTAGGCAGTAGTGGAACGTGAGTGGTAGTCTTTGCCGGTTTCTGAGGGTATCCTGGATTTGGTGTGCAGCGCTGTGGAAATGGCTTGCTGTGGACGTCCTAGCACTGGATGTTGTATCAAAGGTACGACCTCGTAGCACGTGCTCAACCTAAAAAAATTCAAAACTTGACTTGGGTCTGTGTGAGTCTGTGAGAGAATGCCCACTCGTTCCGTTGTGACAGATTCCAGGGCCACGTTGAGGTGCCCTACCCCACCACCCATGGCTGCTTCTGGACTTGTTTTAGGTTTGGGTCCCGCGCACGGACAGAACGGGCACGAAAATGTGAAAAAAATTGTAAATGGATTTGTTTGGCTCCTGGGTGGCTCGCACACCGTGGCACTATGCCGGAAATTTGAGTTTTTCCGGCCTGGAAAGCAGCCTGTCAGTGAGGCGCAAGAACTTGTAGATCATGTCCAGAGGGCCAGCATAGTGGCAGGAGTGTGTGGTCAAACTTTCACTCAAATCCATAATAGGGGAACCCTACAGACGGTGTCGTCTTATTACAGGGAACCCTATGAATGATTGACACAAGTGAACAAACTCTGAGCGAGAGGTAGCGGTACGGCAGGCAGCAGGTAAAGCATTCCAGCGATCAGCAGCGAGAAAGGGTAATATTATTATGGTGTTAAGGCCATGCCTAGAACGGGCGACGGGAAGTGCGAACATAATAATTATGGCTAACTTGACCGCGTGCCTGCCGGTCAGTGTGGCTGGTGGCTGAGCCGTGATTGAAAATCCCATGCAAAAGCGCACTAGCATCACCATGCAGGCAGTGGTAAACAAAACAAACAATACGAAGTTCCAGACGAGCAACATT